TTGACTTGCAAACACCTTTCTCACACAACTCAATCTTCATAAATTTATTTAAAATACAAATAATAATAATAATTGAATGGGTGTTTCATTTGGACACAACTCTTGAAAAAAAAATAGAAAAGTACTAATAATATATAATAAATAATGTCTCAAAAGATTTAACAAATTAAAAAAAGAAAAAGTGAAGAGATATCTTTAAAAATTCTTACAATAAATTGAATATTGATACAACAATAATTAGACATGCACTTAACAAACTTTGTGGTATGTCTTTAACAAAAATTGCAGTAACTTGTGTCTGGAGTCCTTTTTTTTTTTTTTTTTTTTCCCTTTTAAAAAAGTTGTTAGTAGTTAAATAGACAACTTTTCAAGAATTTAAAGAGGATATCATCACAGAAAATAATACACAAAAAATCAAATGACACATATATGTCATGTTCGTGAAAGTTTTAATTGCTTCATCTTTATTGAACACCCGAAACAATGATTTGGATGAAAATGTATATACATAGAAAGATAGAGAGAGTTTTAAAAGAAACTCTTTCATGTAATAATTACAATATATTGAATAAAAGTTATATGTAAAAGGAACTCTAAAATATTCCAATAATAATGTGATATATATAGAAGTAAATATAAAAAATAGAGGGAGACATAAAAAGTTTTTAGAGGAGAGAAGAATTGAAACCTAAAATTATATATATATATATATATATATATATATATATATATATATATATATATATATATATTTAAGAAGTATAATGCATTTACGATGTTGGCCTTTTGCAGAGAAGAAGATAATATGAAAGAGTTTTTTATTTTATTTTTTGAGATCATATGACTCATAGGTATATATATAAGATGCACACAACTCTTCACAATGGACATCGCTTTTGAATATAAGAGTATAAAGGCATCTTAAGAAATTACGTTACAGGACGTTATCATTTTTTTCAAGGTTTGGTATATAATTAAAGTTGATTTTTTAATATAAAAAATCCAGAATCTAGAGTGTAAGATTGATTTAAATTAAAATTTAAAAATTGTTTAAAACAAGAACTCTTTGGAAAAAAAAAAAAAAGAAAGAAAGAAAAAAATAAACAGAGTGTAAAGAACGATGCGTATAATATTTTTGTAAATTAAAGAAATTATTTTAAAATGTATATAAGATATAGATATATATTTGATGAAGCAAATTTGTTATTTTTCTCTTATGTTCAAACAGATAAAATGATTAGAGATATTTGGCAAGGACACACGAGGTTTATAGCTATCTTTTGCTCGAGTGATGGAGACTTCACAAAGAATCGATAAGTTGTGTGTTTCATAGGGCATTTATTTCTATCCTTTTCTTGAATGACACAGACGTGAGGACTTTGCAAAGAAATTATAAGTTTAAGTGTCATAGGTTTATTTGTATATTTTGCAGTAATGAAATTGCGAAATGCACAAGTGTGTGAATTATTTGTTTTGTTTTTTTAATAGTTTTAAGTTATCTGAGCATATTAAGGTAATTCTCATTTAGCCAGGAATGGTCTGTTCTCTTGCTTGCTATTTCCTCATCTTTGTAATGGTTTAAAGTTATTTTTGCTTATTGATATTTTGACATTGATCCTTCCCAAGTAAGGTTACTCCAATTTAGCAAGAAAAAAAAAATGGTCTGTATTCTTGTTAACTATTTTCTCATCTCCCATACTGCAAAAGAAACATGTTTTAGATTTGATTACTTTCAAACGTATTTATTTAGTTCTTTCTTAATCGCAATAAAGATCATTCTATTTGCAAAATAGTTGAAAGCTATATAGAATCTATGGAATAATATTTTGCTTCTCCATGCTCGAGTACTGGGACTTTTTTTAGGTCCGCCACGTAGCCTTGTGACGTTATTACCCCTGTTTAAATTAATCTCTTCACTGCAGCAAAGGTCAATTTTGGTGCTTAAAAAGGTTAATTTTGGAATTTATATATATATATATATATATATATATATATATATATATTGGATATATTATTATTATTATATTTTTTTCAGCATAAATATTAACGGTTTTTCATAGTCTCATGTGGGAGTGGCAATTGGGTGGGTTTGAGCGAATATTGAATGCGTCAATAACTCATTCTCAACTCGTCAATGACGGATCATAGATGGGTAAGATCTTAAATGGGTGGGTCAAAACGAGCAACCTGTGTCATTTTTTATTATTTTTTTTACTTTTGCAAACTGGATCTTTTGTGATGACAAACTTTTGATATTGACTTTCATCAAATTTAAAATGACAAACAAAGTTTCAAATTTTTTTTTTTAAATCCTCAAACAAGGTTTCTTTGACTACCATATGAAATTAAAAAAGACAAAGATTAACTTAATTCGATAAATAGTTATAAAAATTGACTTACTGAAAAGAAAAAAAAAAAAAAAAGAAGCAGAATTTAAAAAATGATTCTTTACTTAATTCTGTATCATTTTATTTTTTTTTTTTATTTTTATTTTTTTGTGGCAAGGAAGTAGTTATTTTGATTGTTGAATACTAAAAAATAAAAATAAAGAACAATTTTTCTTTTCTTTTTTTCTTTTTTATTTGGGAAAACTCACTATACAACTTAATCAACAATAATAATTATATATATATATATATATATTTAGAAAAAAGAGTTTATGTATGTTCTTCATCCTCTTGTTCTATGGCAAAAAGGGTAGTTATTATCTTTACATCATCTCAAATTGATGATAATAACTGGCATGTCATGGAGCAGTAGGTGTACATTGTTTCCATTTTCTTTTACTTTTCTTTCAAGAAATTTGATTTTTCTAACATTTTTTTCACACTAATTTTTTGCTTTTGTTAAAATTCTTAATGATTCAGTTTCACTTTAACCCCAAAAAAAAAAAAAAACCACCAACATGAGTAGTCCTTTCCTCCAAGACCAAAAAGAAAATTAAAGGAAAAAAGAAAAAGTGAACGTACAACATGTGGATTTTCTGCAAGATGAACAGCTTATATGTGGGCGGACAGAGTGGTAGGTGGCCTAAGAAATTATCCTATTTTGTGGCCAGGACTTGAGGTGGAGTTTGGGCCGATCTGTACAAGCCCGTTTCATTGTCGTGTCTTATTTTTTTTTTTTTTTTAATTTATACATATAGAAAGTTGAAGAGTGAGGCAGGCAGAGAGAGAGAGATCTTGAATTATATGGGCACACATTTTTATTTTTTTTATTATTTTATTTTATTTTTTTTGTCATTACTGATGATGCCCAAATGAAATTATAGTGGGCGAACTTGGGCTATTTAATAAATTTGGATATAAATTGCCATCCAATCCCATACTAGCTCTATTATAAAATTTTAAAAAGAACGTGCAATTAATGCATGAATTTTTTTTTTTCTCTCTTCAAATTTGAAGAGCGATTTTAAAATTTTAAAAGGATAATTTTTAAAATATATTATTTGCTTGAGACATCTCTAGAACGACAGAGGTAGAGTAAATTCCAGATATTGTTTCATATTTTTGTGATGATTTGACCAAATTCGGTTAATACCTTTTGAATAATTGTATCGCTGTTAAAATCAATTGCGTATTATTATGGGAGCTAACATTGGAGGCTTCTTCTAGCTGTGGAAATATCCTTAGGCCTCCACACTCCTCTCTTTAAATGGAATAACAAAAAAATCCTTAACCCACACAGTATTTGATTGTTACAATTTTCACTCCCATAATTACCCTTTACTATTTGCATAATCTCTCCCACATATTCTTTGCATAATTAATTACGAAAAGAATAATTTATAAATTGGCCAAATAATATAATATTAGTCTCATATTTATTTACTTAGCTACCAAATAAATAGAAATATATCATGTGTCCAAATCATCTGGGTCACACAATTAATAAATAAGTTTATAATAAATTATTACAACCAAAAATTTAGTTGAGCAAACTTGTAGCGTGATGGCACCGGCAAAGACTAGGCAAAAGCGGCAAGAAAATTAGGCCTCACAAGTGAAGTGGTCCAAAACATATGAGTCACACAATTAATAAATAATCTTGCAATCATTATTACAATCAAAAATTTAGTTGAACAAACTTGTAGCGTAATGGCACCGACAAAGACTAGGCAAAAGCACTCCTGGGGTGAAGTGGTCCAAAACATTGTTTGTATTATATGTAAAGAAAAGTTTTGTTTATAAGATGACTGAGTAGTCTCACAAGCTGATGATCAATATTTAGGAGAATGTTCTATTGGCAAGACTTTTCAATAAAATCTTCTACTTCTACGATCCAATACAAGTATTATATGTATATGTGTGTACGCGCTTGTGTATATATGTACAAGACTACATGTATAAAGGGAATCCAAATACTCTATAATCAAGATATTTGGTCTTCTTAATCTTAAACTGAGTTGTGTTTTGTATGCAGTCTCCAATTTCTTTCTGCCAGTAAGGGCACACATCATAATATCAAGAGATGCCTAGACAATCTACCCTGTACTATAGTAACCAATATAATCACAATAATAGCACTCGTCATCTATGCGATGCCTGTCAGCCTAACTTGTTTTGTTCTAGTTTTAATGAACTAGCTAGCTCTAAAAGAATAAAATAATTCTAAGAGAACTAAGTTTACATAGGCATAAGTTTTTATTTATTTTTCCAAACAAATAATTATACACGCATATCAATGTTCTTGAAAACTTAAATCCTTAACTTTACACTTCGAAAATTAGAAAAAATAGTGTTAACTACAGCCATTGATTGAGTGACATGTTATTTCCTCAAAAAGACTTTCTTTTTGAGTATGAATTGTATATACTTTGTTTTTAGTCTGGAATTTTAATACATTTGCTCTTCACACACAAAAAAATAAAAAAACAAAATAAAATAAAATAACTTCTAATAACAATCAGAGGCCAACCATATATTTGAGAATTTATGCCAAAATGTCATACATGCATTACCCATGGCTGTGATGCATCTTTTGAACAATTATCTAAAACACTACCCTTTTGCAACTAGTATTCTGTAACGGTGGTCCAAAACCGCACAATAGATAACATTTAGACATAAGTAACATTTTTTTTTTTCAGCTACAAATTTTATACTATAGTATGATTACAAGAGTTTTTCTTTAATGACATGCATCTTATTAAAAGAAGTCACTTTAGAGGATCAGAGTTTGGCATAGACTACAAATGCAAACTAGTAAAAAGAAACACAACGCAACACACATACCTGAGAGCTGGTGGAAACTCCATGCTGGAGCTGAAATTCTTCATTTCCTTAATGTACCTCCTCCAATGGAAAAGTCTACAAAGCCATGAACGAATATGGGCTCATCAAATTTAGCTTCTTCGCCTGCTCTTTTTCGTCCTCTGTTTATTTTGGTTCCTTCCAAAGGTGCTGACAAACCATTCATGATACCTTGCGGCAAGAGTGTGTCCAATGATCAACCCAACTACTAACCCACCTCCATAGCCCATGCATATCACAATCCAATCACTTTTATCAATTGCAAGCCATGAATGATCACCATCTTGTTTGAAGTTCGAAAGTGGTGGTGGCAGCAACGCGTCTGAGTTGTCACATTTGTTCGGCAAAAGGTCTCCACACAATCCCAAATTCCCCTCATAGGAATTGTTTGGAAATGTATTGAATTGCCTCCCTCGTGGAATCGGTCCTCTGAGATGATTAAAAGAGACATTGAAGAATTCAAGGAATGTGAGCTGGGTTAGTTGCTGAGGTATCTCTCCTGAGAGCTTGTTTTGAGAAAGGTCCAACGATTCAATCTCTGTTAGATTCCCCAATGAAGATGGAATCTGACCAATGAAATTGTTGTTGGAAAGGTTTAGCATGTGAAGACTCTTAAGAATCCCAATAGATTCCGGAATCTCTCCTTCAAATCGGTTACTTGAGAGATCAATGGCAGTGAAGACATTTAGGATATACAAGTACACTATTTCCACACCTTTGTTGGTTAGTGTCAATGCGTAAGTACTGTCATTGTTAACAACATTGGCTGCACTCCTAATATATGTTGATTGATTGACATCAATAGTTTTCATAGCTGTCAAGGTTCGGAAGTAATCGGAAGGTAACTTACCAGTGAAACCATTGTGAGAGATGCCAAGAATATGCAATTTGGAGAAAGCAAAACTGGAGTTAGGGTTCCATATTACACCATGGAATCTATTGAATCGCAAAATCAGAACCTTCAATTCAGGAAGTGTTCCAAGCCAAAAGGGAAAAATGTCATCGATCTGATTGTTTCCAAGATCAAGACTCTCTAGAAGTGAACAATTGACCAACGAATTTGGCACTGGCCCTTGCAATTGGTTTTGACTCAAGTTGATCATCCTCAGCATGGTTCCATTGTTGTATGTTTGAGGAATGGGGCCATGTAATTTATTGTTTCGAAGATTCAATAACTCCAAAGTATCAGCAAAACTGCCCAAACATTGGGGAATGATGCCACTCAGATTGTTATAAGATAAATCCAAGACACGAAGAGAACTTGCATTGCAGATCAGTAGTGGAATCTCCCCAGTCAGTTTGTTGTTAGCGACAATATAAACGCTGATGGATGATGGTGGGACAAGGAGTGATCCTTGCAGCATGTTAGAACTAATGTCTAAACGCCTTAGTCTGTCCCACGGAAGGATTAAAGGAGGAGGTTGGTGAAAGGCCGTTATAAAGTTCTGAGAAAGGTCAAGGTATGACAGACTTTGTGGACTCATGTTCCATATCCATGTAGGCAGAGGGCCTTGAATACTATTGTTGCTGAGGTCTAGCAACTGCAAATTGTCTTGAGTTTTCAAGAAATTTGGGAACTCAGTTAAGTTGCATGAGTTCAAATTAAGGAACTCAAACTTGGGAAGCGTATCATTGATGAAGCTACTGGTAAGCAATGTTAATTGGTTACCCGATAGCCAAAGATCAGTAAGATTTTTCAGAGTAAGAAACACGTCTACCTCTACTGTTCCGTTTATATTATTACCATCAAGATAAAGAACTTCCAGATTCACAAGTTGAGAGATTGACTCAGGAATTGGGCCGTGCAACAAATTAGAAGAAAGGTCAAGATAGAAGAGTTGTGTAAAATTACCAAACCAAGACGGGATTGGCCCCGAGAAATTGCATCTTGCCATCTCCAAACGATTCAAGGATTTAAGTTGTCCGATTGAATTTGGCAATTCTCCAAAAAAGTTGCTTCCAGAAAGGTCCAAATATTGCAGTTGTGTAAAATTACCAAACCAAGACGGGATTGGCCCCGAGAAATTGCATCTTGCCATCTCCAAATGATTCAAAGATTTAAGTTGTTGGATTGAATTTGGCAGTTCTCCAAAAAAGTTGTTTCTGGAAAGGTCCAAATATCGCAGTTGTGAAAAATTACTAAACCAAGACGGGATTGGGCCTGAGAAATTGCATCCTGCCATCTCCAAACGATTCAAGGATTTAAGTTGTCCGATTGAATTTGGCAATTCTCCAAAAAAGTTGCTTCCTGAAAGGCTCAAATAATGGAGTTGTGTAAGATTATCAATTAAAGACAGTATTGACCATGAGAAGTTGCATCTTGAGATATCCAATTCATTCAACGAGTGGAGATTTCCAATTGAATTTGGCAGCTCCCCTGAAAAGCTTGTGCCCCCGAGTCTCAATTTCTTGAGTGGACTCCTACTGTGGAATTCAGGCAAGTACACGCTGAGATCTGGATTGTTTTGCACGCTAAGAAACTGTAGGTTTGGTAAGTTAAAAATGCCCGCCGGAAATTCACCTTGTAATTGACAATCTTGAAGAAGTAGAGAAGTTAAAGACGAAAAATTAGCCAAAATGTGAAGTGTTGTTGAAGACATGTTTACCTTATTGAGGTAAAGTTCTTTTAAATTCGTCACATTCTGAACCAAGCTTATTAGACCAGGCTTAAGGAGCTCCAGATTTGGATTTCTTGAGAGATCAAGAGAAGTTAATTTGGTTAAATTTGAAATTTCCAAAGGTATTTGATCAGCAAATACAGAATATGAGAGATTGAGATAAGTTAACCTCGAAAGAAGTCCAACGGCAGATGGGATTTGAGAGTGATTGAACCAATTGTCAGCTAGGTTGAGTGTCTGAAGGTGAACAAGGCGGAAGAGGGCGCTACTGGAGTTGATAAAATCAGAGAGAAAACTGCTACTGAGGTCAAGTCCAATGACACGGCCAGTGTCATCATCACAAGTGACACCGTCCCATGAGCAGCAATCACTGCTACTGGTATTCCACGATGCAACCTTTGGATAAGCTGAAGGATCCGTAGATATTGGTGTAGACTTTATTATTGAAAGGCTTTGACTGAAGTGCAACAAAGCAGACCTGTCATCGTGGTGGCAGAGTGGGTTTTGTTGGTGCAGAGAAGGGAAAGAGTGAACAAGCATGAAGTAATGAGATGCAGTGATGATGAGTAGGAAGAAGAGCAAGTAGTGCAAGAATAATATTGGTGAACAACCACCCATTCTCAATTATATGATCGATATATAAAATTCTCTTTCTTTGGCACTTATATAAGTATATATGAATCAAGATGTGGTGTTTATATAGACGGATAACAAAATGATATATATCCTACGTAATCTTGTTAAGTCAAGTCAAGTGGAGAGATAGTAATGGAACACATCGTCAAGTCTCCCCTGCATAAATGATACTTTTCAACAAGAGACATCTTCCTCTTAGTTTCCACTTTGCTACTTTCTGCCAAAATATCATCACCACACACGAAACACACACACACACACACACACACACACAAAAGATATTATTGGGCTAGATCTGGTGTACACTAATTGATGTAAACGTGGGTTTTGGGAGTAGAATAAAAATTCCACCCCACTACAATTCCACGTACGCCTATTAATTACTCAAAAGCATTATGTTTATAAAATTATTCTATCATTAATGTTTTCTTCTTTCCGTTCCTTTTTTTTTTTTTTTTTGTCCTTTAGATTTCCAAGGATAACAAATTCTCCGTGCATTAAGAAACCAAAATTTTATATTTTTACCAAAAATAATTATTATTTTAAGTTTTGAAATAATGGAGTTTCAAAAAATGACATTAGACCCCAAAAAGTTTTCGATCTCACATTTTACTTGTTTTTCTTTTGTTTTATTAGAAAAATAGATTAGCAGAATTCTCCATGCATTCCAAACTTCATAATTGTTTCAAAAAGTATATAGTTTCACTCCATTTTATAGGATTAATTGTATTATTAATTTTATTTAAAATATCCGAGTGTTGCACTTCTCCAACCCACCATGTTATCATCCCTAAAATGGAGGGCAATAAACGCACTAAAATAAAGTGTGTGTATGTTAGTAATTTACCAAACATGCATAGCAGTATTAAATTAGTGGCATGTATTATTCTTTAAAATCCCATGTTGCCCATTTTCAAACCAATGTTCTTCACTCTCGAGCCCCTTTCCATTATAGAACTCATGTAAGCATTTCATTGACCATTTAGGATGCACAAGTGGATGGACCTGTGCCAAAATATAAATCACCCCACATTTTTTTTTTTTTTTTTTATCACAATACCACTCGAATCATCCAAGCATGCAAAGATTCCAATCATTTAGTTCAAATAACGCCAAATCACAATTAATCCAAGAAAATGCAAATACATTAATTCATATATGAATTTTATTATTATTATTATTATTATTTTGAAGAGTAAATCAATTTATTGATAAGAAAAAAATATAATTGGGCCAAACCATAGGCAATACAATAGCCAAACCCAGCCCAAATATAAGGCCCAACCCATAATTCTTCAAAGATGTTGTGGTCTCCGGGTCACACGTTTCCCCTATATATATATATATATATATATATATATGTATAATTTGTCCTTAAAAAATTAGTACTAAAACTAGAGAAGACTATTTTTCACTTTGGGATTTGCGCGCACTATATTAAATTTCAAAAATACGAAAGACATTATCTTTTTCTTTTCTTTTTTTTCTTTTTTTCTTTTTTTTTTTTGGTGGGTAAATTACAGTAATTTCTATTTGCGCGCACTATATAGTGACATTCTCTCTTATTTACCAAATAACACTGATCTCCCTTGAAGTTTATATACTGATAATACGGACCTCCTCTGCCATTAAACAACTAACTATTTATGCTTATATTCGTTAGAAAAAATTAATGCAAAGATAATTTTACCCTTCTTATAGCTGAAATGATATTTTTAACCTCAATAATCACTGCAAATTTACAATAATATCCTGACTCCCTTGAAGTTTATATACTGATAACACAGACCTCCCCTGCCATTAAACAACTAACTATTTATGCTTATATTCGTCAAAAAAAATTAATGCAAAGATAATTTTACCCTTCTTATAGCTGAAATGATATTTTTAACCTCAATAATCACTGCAAATTTACAATAATATCCTTGACTTATAAACTCAAAAGAACAATAGTGCCATCATACCAACAAACCCAGAACACCCAATGGGTCTAAACTATCTATATATACAGTGCACACACATATATCTATAGACACACTGTCACGCACGTATCAATCTCATATATATATATATATATATATATATATGTGTGTGTGTGTGTGTGTGTGTGTGTGTGTGTGTGTATCTATCTATATATATACACACGGCGGCTGCCAAGGGCGAATCAGGTTAAGACGAGCTTCAGTTTAGAGAGATTCCGACGAAGGTAGTTTAACAAATTTCAACTTTTTGGGGCTGCGAAGGGCGAATCAAGGTTCGACGGAGCTTCAGTTTAAAGAGATTCCGGCGAAGTTAGTTTAACAAATTTCAACTTTTTGGTTTAAGCACCAAATTCCTTTCAAGAAAAGACGCCCCTGAGCATCCATCAGCTAACAATAGAAGGATTATACCTCAAATCTCCCCTGGCTCAAAGCTATCCACATCCGCTCATCCATCCCCACCTCAAAAATAACCTGGCTATATAGCATCACCAAAAACTCAACCATATCCTCTACCTCCCAATCATGAACAGTCTCTCAAACTGCACCCCAGATCAATCTCCCATCATCAAAATGATAACAGTGGGCAACCAACACATACTCTTCTTTTGACTTATACATTAAAGATGACCATAAGCAAATTGAAATTTAAGTTTGGATATGTTTGGATTCCTAAGCTATGTGCTCAGTGTAAGAAATTTGGACACACTACTACCCAGAGTAATTTCTAGTTTTCTCTTATATTTTGAATTTATGTTAATTCAGATAAAATTGAAAAAGTTGAAATTTGTTAAACCAACCAACATAGTCAAGCACTGAATTTAGCAAGGATGGGCCGGCGAGCAAACAAGAACGGGGGCGAGCAATGATGAATAGCGGTAAAGGAGCTTACCGGCGAGGACAAACCGCGACATGAAGAACTCAACGGCGAGGAATGAAGAATCCATCGGTGAAGCTCACGAGGGCGAACGGTAAAGCTCCATTGTGACGGCGAGCTCATAGTTTTGGTGTAAACCCATATCAGTCTGGCAAGTTGTCTTTCCGGTGCACTCATCTCCTGCAACGTTTCATGCAACGAGCAGACCCATTTCCTTGACGGCTAATAAACCTATTTTCTCTCTCTATGAACAGATACAACTTTTGGGTTTTTTTTTTTAATTATCAAGATGCATAGCCTTCTCCGGGGTAGTGCATTTCTAAGGATGCTGTTCATTGTCGGGCACATCGCCGTCCATGCTCTTTTCCGCTGACGTCACCCGTCTCCAGCACAGACCCGTCTCCAGCCGTCGGGGACAGAGGAGAGAGAGAGGGGGGGGTTGTTGGCAATAGGGATGGCAATTTGACCCGCCCTGAGGTTACCCGCCCCATTTTTTACGGTTATAGGGGACCGTTTAGCTTATTTGGGCGGAGATGGTTTGATATAATAAAAACCCGCACGGGTTTGGTGCGGGAGCGGGGTGAGGTCGCCCCGTTTAGATAGGCAAATTACTTAAGTACCCTTATTTCATTAGTATATATATTTCCCAGTATATATATTAAGTACCCTATATAATAATATTAAAGTAACAAATGAATTTGATTAGAAGGAAAGTTGTAATAGTGAAGAACTAAAGATGAGGGGAAAAAAAATAGCAAATTTATTTCAACAATAAATAATTATGGTCTTAAACAGGGCGGAGCGGGTACCCGCAAGGGTAAAAATGTTAAACGGTTACGGGTATGAGGTGGAAAGTCCCCCCATTTTTGCGGTTTTGGGCGTGGATGGGGGCGGGGTTTTTAAACGGTTGCGGGGGCGGGGGAGGGTACACCCGCCCAAACCCGCCCCCGTTGCCATCCCTAGTTGGCAATGGCAAGGCCGTGGGAAAGGAGAAGGGAAAAAAAAAAATCTTAAAAAGGGTACTATTAGTAATTTACATCCATTATATTTTATATTTTTAATAATAAACTAATAAGTAAGGATAAGTTTGTAATTTTACTCTTTCCCTTAACAGCATCCATTGACAGGGAAGGTCAGTGTAATTTGGCAAACAAGAGAGGAGGTCTGTGTAGGTTAATGAAACCTCAGGGGAGATTAGTGTAATTTACCTTTCTTTCTTTCATCTTCGGATCAGTTTCCATATACAAAAGCCGACATTACAAATGGGGCAAGTTGATGCAACGCCATATGATAATTTTATTTTATTTTATTGTATATTAACATTCTTTTATATATATATATATATATATATATATATATATATATATTTATTTATTTATTTATTTATTACAAGACGAAAAAGATTAGAAGTTAGATTAGTAGATCATGCAGATAGTCAAAATTTGACACTCCAAAATCCACTGAAAGCACTAACTCACTGAGTTATCAAGGCATCTGTTTTTTCTCATATATAAGAATGACAAATGGCAAAGTGTGACAATATTGCATGTAATTCAATTATGAAATACAAAATTAATTTTAATTTTTCTTAAAGTGAATTAAAGCACTATCATTTAATGTAGGGGTGGCAAAATAGGTCACAACACTTCAACTCGCCTATATTCGCCTGCTTTTTAATAGTTTCTGTTGAACTATATTTCAAATGGGTCAAAAATGAGTTGGGTAATTTTTAATCACTTAATTTGAGGATCAAGATAGGTTGAATATTGTCCATATTTCACTCATCACATGATAGACACACAATACACATCTATTCTATATTGCACTCAACTCATTTCTCTCTCTCTCAAATTCTCTCACTCACGATCCTCTCTCTCTCTAAATTTGTCTCTCATCAATCCCCTCACTCTAAGGCTATGTTTGGTAGGGTAGGTTTGAAGGGAAAGGATAATATTAGTTATGAGGGAAAGGGAAGGGAATGATAATTTTAACCCCCTGTGTGTGTTTAGTTGATTAATGAAGGAAAAAAAAGAGAAGGGTAATAATCATGTTTGGGAGAAGAAAGGGAAAGAAATGGAAGGGAATTATTTTAATAAATGAACTATTATACCCTTTTATATTTTAAGATATATATATATATATATATATATTGTCTCCTCCTATACCAGGCCATGATGGTGTTGGGAAACGTGCAAGTTTTAAAACCTTTTTGAGGGATTTTGATTCATAGATCTTGATTCATCACATAGAGACAAGGTTTATGCAAAAAATAAAAATATGATGTATCATTCAATTAATGGATTGAATACTTACATCAAAGGTCTGAGTAAACCTTTAAATCTTTCCTCTAAAGTGAATGTTCTCACTTATTGTAGATCCCTTAGCAAGATGCCTTCTCCTTGGATCTCCATCTTCTTGGTAATTGTTTTGCCTTTAGGAATCACTCATAAGCCTCCATGAATGACCTTGGAAAACTAGGTTTGTGGGAGCCTCCATTAGATGAGAACATAAACCCTAATTTTCTAGAGAGAGAAAATTTATTCCTCTTTCCTTCTCATAAAAATCACACCTAAAATATACATAGACCATGTATATTTATAGGCAATATAAAAATAAAGAAAAGGAAACAACAAATCATTCTCCATCTCTAATTCATATGTCTCAAATCTAATATGATTCCAATATCAAGTTGGGCTATGAATCAGAATCCATTGGGCCTATTATTTTATTGGCTACAATGAATTAATAATTAGCCCGGTCCATGGACCCAATTCAATTAATTCATAAATTAATTTCTACTCCACTAAAAGAAATTAATTGAACTCCAATTAAATAATAAATAACCTCTAAGTCAATATCGCACTTTGACCCCTCTATGCATAATTAGTTATCGGATAAATAAAGCCATCAATCCGACTACTTAATTAATATATCTATTTTGGTACCTCTGATTATTTCTGGCTCGATCACAATAAAACATTTGTTTGACAAAAATAATAATTTAAATAAATAAATATATAATAAATCATTTTGTCTAAAAACACACGAAGGCCTTCGAATTTACTTTGTGATCAACCATAATCAATACAAAATAAATACAAGTAGCAATGATGCAAATATTAAAAATATAACCCTCTAACTATTAATTACATAACTACCCAAAGTGTCGGTCTAAGAATCCCGAAGAATTCGCCGAACAAATCAAAGTAATTATTAATTAATAAAAGAGTCTATACTTTTCTCATACTTAAGAGTCAAATGCCATGACGGTGATAGGGAGTAATTGCATACGACGGCTCTCGCAATATATCTCAACCTAACGCGGATCCAGTTCAAGTCTTAATTAATTATGAGTCCATCCATAATTACCGACTATGAACAATTTATAATTACTATTTATATATCATGCATTGATTGCCATCACATACATATATATAAATATTTCTTGTAATTACATGGACACTATCAATTTCATAGTGAATCGAAACATAATACATTGAATTCACCAATTATATAAATCATAAATATTTCAGATATGTCAGGAACATATGTCACTATAATCCAGATAGGAATTTGCTATGCTAGGACATATAAATCCCAACAGATGGGCCACAAGAAAAGACAAAAAAAATATGGCAAATCATTTCAGCCTCCCCAATCTCGCCTCCATATATATATATATATAGATTGTCTCCTCCTATACCAGGCCATGATGGGCCAAAAGAAAAGACCAAAAAAAAAAAAAAAAAAAAAGAAGGGGGAAATCATTTCAGCCTCCCCAATCTCGCCTCCATCTCTAATCTCGTTCTCAACTCTGAACTTGCCCTCTCTCTCTCTCTCTCTCTCTCTCTCCTCTCTACAAGAATCAGAAGTTCAAAACCCATTTCTTTTAGTTTTCTATCTGTCTGTAAGAATCAAAAATCAAAACCCATATCTTTCTTCCATCGCCGCTGTTTCAGTTCGGGCTTGCCGTTCGCAAGCTTTAGCCGCCGGCCAGCCGTATCTCACTCTCTCTGCAACTGCTAACCTGTATGTATATGTAATCTTGAGGGCAAATTAGGCATCACAAATAATAAATCAACCCTCCCCTTCACTTTCCTTCCTTTTCCTCCCATTTTTTGGAGGATAAGCAAAACACTATTCAGGCCTTGTGTTAACCCTCCAAATCATTCACTTTCCTTCCCTTTCCTTCCAACAATTTTTGCCAAACACAAATTTTTTATCCCCCTCCATCACCTTCCCTTCCCTTTCCTCCCTTTTCCATTGCACCAAACTGACCCTAAGTTTCTCTCTCTATAAATTTCTTCTCTTCCATTCACTTCTCATTCTAAAACGAGTTGATAAATATTACTGAGTTTGAGATTGTTTTTTAAATTTGTTATTAAATAAAATTTTAAAACCTTCCAAAAAAATAATAAATAATAATAATAATAAAATATTAAAATGTTAAATATTAAAATATAATTTAAATAATTAAATAATTAAAAATAATAATTATTATTATTATTAAAAAAAATTAAAATTTTAAAATAATTTAAAAAATAGTTAAAAAATAATAATTAATGGGTCCACAGGTCATAACAGGTTGACCCTATATATTTTTGACTTGTTCTTTTTTAACCTGTTCTGAACATGTTGAATATGGGGTTTTGATCCATGTTTAACTCGTCCATTTTCAACCCAGTCCAACCCGCCCATTTGCCACCCCTAATTTAATGTAAAACAATGTTAAATATCTGGTTTGCTTCCATATTCAAAGAGAAATGAGGCTTGCTTCTCATCTCAACAAGAATGCTACTATGTTGGAGAAAATTGTGATACAATGGAACAATAATTGTCCACCACAAGAAGCACTCAGCACGAAGAGCTTGAGATCATTAGGGAAGTATTAGAACTAAATATGGAGATAAAAGTTTCTTTCTCTCTCAGATTTGCCGTGTTACATGCTGAATTAGACTTGAATGACATGGAAGACATTATCTTACTCTCTTTCATTTTCAGAATTTATGTCCATCTACAAGAAGTCATCATAAAAAATCGGGTAAGTTTATCGAATCATAGAACCAAAGTTACGTAATAACGTGATAATTTTATTGGCATTCTTTTCTTATATATAGTAATGACGAATGTTTTTTTATTATTATTAAATGTATTACTTGTATAATTACTAATTTATTATATAATGTCATGTACATAGATAATTTTAGTTATTTTCAACTCTTAGTATAATAGATTATATAGAATAATATTATATCTTATTTATGAATTTAATCCTTTTATTATTGATGTTAAAAGTGTATTTTAATCATTTTTCGTAGCAAGTATTGTTTTTCAAGGGTATTAATAAAGTTATCGTTAACTTTAACTGAAAATTAGCGGAAAATGGGTTATGTAATGACTTTAATAGAACATGGAACAAAGTTTTAAAAATTAAAGTAATTGGAAGTTTTATGAATTTAATTCTATGGTACTTAAATATATTGAGAACTATATAAACGTATATAAATAATAGTTTATCACAACTAAATCAGGATCCTCTAATGTGTCATTCTTGTCATGATCTACTGAGGATACTAATACATCTACAATACAATAACTATATAAATGAGTTAAATTCTCACTTTAATGATATCTAACATTTCAACACACGTAATATATGTGTTGCACACATGTTATATTGTTCTTGGTATTGCATTCTACTACTATAATATAACTTTGTTGTATGATGATGTGTGTTAAAAGAGTCTTGTGGAAAAATAAGGAGGTTGACCACATGTTTGGTTGACTTTCGTTTTTAGGATTAATACAATACGAATACAAAATTTGGATGACCTTTTTAGATTCTATAGTATCATGATTTTTAAACAAAGTGAAGAGTTCCTAGAATTGCTAATCAACTTCCAATTTGCAATGACAATAGAGAACCTTCATAAACTTCTCTATAGTTAAAAGGTGAAAATGTTATAATTAATGCTTTATTTGGAGTAAAAACCAGGGAATTATTCGCTGCAACGCGATAAGAACCGTTTTTACACTGGTCACAAATCTTCAATACCATCAATCATCTCGTCAAACTCCATCAGATGCAAAGCCAACAATATGCTCTTGTTCATGTTGTGCACGGCAACAGCATTTTATTTGTTGTAGTCATTGGCCGTACAAATTAAAATCCAAGAAACAAAAATCAAATACAACTATAATTGAAGACAAATAGCCAACTTTATGCACAAAATGACATAAGGTACAAACAATACAGCAATGATAGCTACAATATAAGAAAATTAATATAGTGAAAGAAACAATAAATGGACAAAATCAGATTTCCTACGAAATTCTCGAAGAGAATTAGTAAACTATTATCAACAACAAAGAACTTGCATAAAAAATAATAATAATAATAAAATAAATAAATAAATAAAAATTATAGCTTAAACCTCAAACTTGACAATTCTGTCACATCCAGATCAACTACCCTACACCACCTCTTCTAGCATATCCAAGAGTGGATGCCCTATCCTCTTTTCAGAGAGTATTTCGAAAGAAAAATGGATTGAAGTCATTAGCTAAAGCATTCTCCATTAGTCTATACGAACATTCAAATTAAACATGGAACTAAAAGGCATTCTTCCTTGATTATTCTTCCAATACACGCCAAGGATGTTCCGTGAATCGATGCAAATAGCTTAACTAAGGAGAGAACACAGAATTGAGTATTGAAATCCATCATAATAGAGGGAGGGGGGAATAGCATGGAAGAGCAACAGAAGATGATTTAAATGTTACATTCATCAAAACCAATAAAACGAAAATAATATACATAATAATTTGTATAATCCATATGATATATTAAGCAAAACATCAGCCACTGATGGCCAAAGAGTATGCAAATTGCAAACATAAACAGAATTGATGCCTTTTCCCAAAATAAACCTAATTAACTCCAACAGAGTGCAAATTTTTAACTCTACCCCTCTTTTCCGACCTTTTTATTGGCTGCTCGCAGGTCCCAAGTCCATCAACAACCTTGAAACACAACTTACCCACATCCATAACAAGAATGCCACTCATGGAATCAATTGCGCAAAGTACTTGCCCTGTGCACATGTGTGTGTGAATGAAGGAGAAGAGACAGAACACAAAGGGCATATGGCGCGCAGGGTTCAGTTTTGAGGTTCGCAAATAGCCCGGCCAATGGCAGGCATCAAACGGACGAGGAAAACAGGAAGGATAGAAATTGAGGGCAAAAATCATAAACTGTAAACAGTTTCCTTCATATGCTTCCCATTTTTCTTGGCCTGCTTCAGGATTCTTGGTCGTGCTGCTCTCCATTTCCATCCTTTTCCCCTCCTCAATGGCCTTTCCACCATTATAGTAAATGCATCACCAGAATTATACTTTTCCCCCCAAAGTACCCTTTTCTAAATTGAGGCGATCTAGGTTTCACACACAAATTTGAACATGAAACGACCTTGTCAACCCACAGATCCTACACACACAATAATCTATCTGCCCTCAAAATCACATGAAAACATATTTCTGCTTAAGTTATAGCACCTGATGTTTCCAGCAGTACCATCATTCTAAATAAATCCTTAAACCTTCTCCACTAGCCTTAATGGAGCAACAGTGAATAGTCTAGTATAGCACTCCGCTACACCAAACTCCATCACCCATAGACAGCACTCTGGTTAAGTTATTGTTGATTATGTAATCAACAATAATGATCAGACAGATAACTCGAAGAGACAAAGTAGTCCCTGATAGCCCCGCCAGCAGAGACGTGAAGCATAAACTCGCTGCCTACCTTACGGAAGCATAATCTTGCCGACCACCTCATTGCCCATATCAAATGACAAAACCAGATAACAGTACGCATCCTCCTCATCAGGATCACACAAAATCTAATGGAGAACCCCATTCACAACTACCTTCAACCACAAATGACCAAATACGACATGTGGAATGACTGCACTAATGCTCCTCCATGAGTCCTTGCTATGTGCGTAAATCAACCTTGGGATAAGTTACGTAACCACACATCTCCTTTTATTGGAGATATGCGATTCTTTCCACCTGGTACTCCTTAGTACTGGGGTCATACCTGAGTCCCCAAAAAACATATATTGGCCATGCGAATTGTAAGCATTTGGGACACTTAAAGGTTCAAGCTTTTTCTAACATTGGTTTCCAGACTATATGATACAATTGGAATCATCCAGAGTACTTGTCTGACTATCATAGCACCTCATTTCATGGAACCACTAACCTAAAAAAATATTTCGTCCTTCACAGTATTTTAATTGATTTCTGCAATGAAATTATTCCCCTTGATTAGATAGTACCGTGATTTTGCAAACGCACCCGATCTATAGGAGAGTCTTGATAGATAGTCTTGCAAACATATCAATCATGAGATTGTTGGATAGCCAAACCAAAAGGTTAGATCTGTCTCCAGGGATCCTCCAAACACCCTACAAAATGCACTTTTTTGAGTTTCATATATCACCCCAAGCATATACTTCACAACTAGGAGGAAGATGAGATAATTCATCAATACTGCAACTTCCATTGAACCTTGCTCCTCTTTACTATTTCCAGTCACTGTTGCTCCTCCACTCTATCCTCTTCTCTAACTGAAATATTTGCCACCCCATTAGAAATAGCATGATAAGAATTTGCCTGAGCCAGGACTCTATTTTCTCCCTTAAGTAAAACTAGGCTCTCCACATAAGAATCCGCATAAAATGAGCGATTGCTGCCATGGATTCTAAGATACTTGATCTGCTTGATATTAGGGTCATATGAAACCAAGCCTCTTACTCTTGCTGACAGTAGAACGTCATTATTCGACCTAAAGCCCATGAAGGTCCTTATTCCTTCTCGCATATCAATAGTGAATAGTTTCGTCCAAGACTTCACTACACCATACTCTTTCATCACCCATACCCAACAGTTTTCGCTCTGCCAAATTTTTTGATACTGAGTAAGAGCAAGTGATGTGCCCCGAACACTAACAGACAATTTCAATACATCTGTATGGGCTACGCTCTCCGGCAGCATCATCTCCCGGAACACTTCAGCACCCATATCAAAACCCACAATCAAACTACGGAAACTATTATCGTCGATGCAATTAGATGCAACCCAGTGGACAGCACCATTCAAGAAAGTGGGCAATGTGAAAAAGCCATGGAGAACAAATGGTGTCGACGCAGCAGCAGAAATGTTTCTCCAAGTTCCGGTATTAAGCGTGTAAACCTCAACACTAGGAGGAACTTTGTAATTATGATTCTCTGCTTCATACAAAACCCTAACCACCTTATAGTCATCATTCAAGGAATCAACGCCAAACCCAAGAAGGCACATGCCATGAGACGCAAATCTCAATCCGGGTTGGGGAAGGTTCACTGATTTCCTAATAGATGGGTTCCATATAATCACTGTGTCCGTATGAGAATCATAATCATCAGATAAACATATCAAACCATTACACACACCCACTATCCTGAAATAATCATTCACAGTCGTGAAAGGGCATTCAAGCTCCATATACACATCTAATGATTCGTTATCGAAATGTATAGCGTATCGCCCTATGTCCTGAAACATGTTGTAGTGCCTAACAAAGAGTAGGTGATTGTTGGTGGTGGTCGTGTTTGAAATTGTCCGATTGAGTTGTGTGGAAATGAAACTAGGGTTTGTGATCAGAGAGTACCATAATTTGCAAACGGAGGTGAATCGGAGGAGAGATCGGACGGGCACTCTTGCGAGGATCTCAACCACGACGTCGTTTGGCAGGTAGTCAGACATCGTTCTTCTTCTTGTTATTGTTGGGTTTTCTTCAATTTCGAACAGTTGAGTTTTGAGTAAGAAATTTCAAGGAAGTTGAGACACGGTAAAGGTTAAAAGCAGCTTCGGATTTGCCTTTAAAAACCCTAATTTCTTGGCCCCTCACAGTGCCAGTCGGTTACCGCCATTACTCACCCCACTAGCTATTGTCGTGGCTACCGCTTTACCGGAACCTCCAGTCACGGGTTACCCGAAAAGCTTGAATATGCTATACCATCAGACAAGATGGATCTGTTGCACCTGTGAAGTGGGGCCCACATCCATTAAATACTTGACAGAAAGGTGTCCACGCATCCTAATCTCTTCAAGAAAAATACTCCGTAGATCCCATGCCACAAAGTCCAATTACCCATTAAATTTCTGAAATTAATTAGTATTAAATTATGAATTTTACTAGTCTTGACACATCCTAATCTTTTCGAGTACATCCTAATCTCTTCGAGAAAAATTGTTAATTATATAGATTTCATGTCCGTGCCACAAACTCCAATTACACATTAAATTTCTGAAATTAATTATTATTAATTAGTTTCATCACAAAAATAATTTAAAATAAAAATGGCACTAGCTTGCAATTTTGAGCATAAAAGTGTGTAATTTAAGACTCGTTTGGGGTAGAAATTGAAATTATGTTTGCTAAAAAAAAATTGTTTTGAAAAATTCAAAAATTTATCTGATATATTATAAATTATTTCAAATCAATATCAACCGTCTCAAATATAATATGAGTTAAAATTTAAAAATTAATATCAAAAAAATAATATAATAACACGTTTCAAACAATATATGTACAACTTGAGTGTCCAATGAAAAGCCAACCTGATTGATTGTTAAGATAATTATATTTACTTTAATTTTTATTTTCTTATGGCCCTTTGGCTTAGGACATGTCAGAAGTTTGAGAATGGTCAAGTAAAAAATATTTATTTATTTTTTTAACTCTGAGATAGATCCAATATTTGTTCATTCCATTCAAATGGGAGACTGAGTATTATGGGTGGCTGTGCAAAGAAGATGCAAGTGTTTCAATCTAATTTATCTCCTCTAACCAATGCCAACTTTAAAAAGTCAAAAAAAACATTAAAGAAAGTACTTTGTTCTTTGTGTACTTTGATTGTCTTCAAGACTAGCACGTGGGACTAGTTTCTATGAGCTCTTTCCAGACTGGCAATGCTGCTAAAGTTAGTTAGTTGTATAGAGTGAGGCCCATATTAGGCAACTAGGTAAGCCCAACCATGTGAGTTGTTACAGATCTCTTTCCATCCTGGACAGGGTGAGGCCCATACTTGGCATTTGGCAACTAGCCAAGCCCACCCCATGTGACCACGTCTAAGGAACAATTTTTGTTCCTCCTCTTTCTGTTATTATATATATATATATATATATATATATATATATATATTTGGTGTTCACATGTAAGACCTCTTAGAATATCCCATAATCCTCCAAGGTGCACGAATGGAGAATATGTGACCGTACATGAAACATCAATTGAAATTGATTTGCTCAGAAATAGAATGGCATTGCCAACCAATAATAATTATAACATTAATGTTTATATTGAGGGAAAAGAGATTATTCCTGTTAACTAAAAAAATTCAGATTATGATTTACATTCAACACCAAAAATTGTTACAACTCATTTTTACAATGAAGCTACATAAGATTTCAACAAACACTACTTTATTCACAACTTACTAATAATATATGAGCAACAATTGCACAACACTCAAAATCAGTTACAGATTAAAATCAAAAGAGTCATATACCCTCCTCGACAAAGATGCATACATTTCAAGAGCACTGATCCATTGGTGACCAAATTTCCATCAGAAAATGGTTCTCTGTATGGATTCTCTTGAGTGATATTTATTTTCTTACTGCCATCCCTGTTTCAATATTCTGTTCAATTATCCTCGAAACCGGTAACTCTCAACTTAAAACAGTCTAACGTCAATATATCCATATTCAAATCTAATAAACTGAATGATTTAATCTATCATCCTCTCGGGATTAAGTTAGTATTTAATTGCACTCTTCCTGTATAAATCTCGAGAAGATGAAAGATAAATCACTCAGTTCATTCCGATCTCACATGGGTATTCAAGCATTATACCATTTTATGCTTGAGCCTGCTTCAAGGAAGATTGCACAGTACATCAAAATCAAGGTGATGGAACAAAACATATAACAAAACGAGCTATATACATATATTAAAGGGAAAAAAAATCTCCCTCTCTTATTATGTACTTGCTCACAAAGAACAACAGATCCCGTAACTTGCTGATGGCTCCCCAAGTTATCCATTCACTATGAACCATTAAACATCATAGTAAGCCTGCATTCCTGGAAAAAAATAACTACAAGTTAATGACCATACTGAATTGGGAGTTCTTAACTGAAAAATAAACATTCATGTGTTGTACATGATGACATGATGTCATGGTTCGGTGTCTTGAGTCCATACACAAAAAAAAAAAAAAGGCATGAAGGAAACAGAACTTTAAAATGGTTTATGGATGAGAATAGTAACTTATTTTTTAAAATGACTAAAAATAAAAAATAAAGGAAATTACTTGTGCGAATTTGCGAAAACCAGATTTTAACCAATAATAAAAGGAGGTGCTTCAAGGAAGAAGAAGAAAGAAGTTCCATTGGAGACGAGGTAGAGGAAGAGAACCTTCTTTTAGCACATAATAGACAGTTTAATAAAAGGTCCACGCATGCCGTATTTGATGCTACATGCAAGTCCACATTCAAAATATCTGCTGATGTAATGTCGAGAAATTACCATAAGGATAAGGCAAGAAGAACGCAATCAGGATGAGTGTATCATGCCATCTCATTGTGGTGAGGAATGTCAGTATTGGGATAGCCGAAAATTGCCCAAAATTTCTTTGGCCACATACCCCAAAAATAAATCAGATTAACCACTTGACTGGACCAGGACCACCAATGAACAACTGCTGCCATGTTAATCCCAGTCCTCCTATATCAACCAGACTCAAAGAAGCGTGCCACTGCTGAATAAAGCTGGTTTTCGTCAAATGGCTTTGACACATAACCATCCATCCCGCATTTCATGCACTCCTCACTCGTTGCTTGAATGACATCAGCTGTCATTGCTAATACCGGTGTGTGCCAATGAGCCAAATACCCAAAAATATCAGTAGATGCTTCACCAGATTCAATTGTTTCATTAATTTTGCGCTCTAAACTGCGGATTTTTCGCGTAGTTTCAAACCTGCAAAATCAATGACATAACTAAAACAATATGTAACACTCAAGAGGGATAATCAGGTGGGCAACATGCAACAAAAGATTCTAAAACCATCAAGACTTAAAGCATTCATCATGAATCACTTCATTTTTCTTCTTTTTTATCTCTTAAGATAGTTGGTTGCTGATCATGACTTGGTCTAGTACCGGAGTTGTTCATCGCCAATCAAAATACAGCATTGCATAAAATATAATTATATAGGTGCAGTATGTCAACATTTGCCAATGACAACCAAGTGAGAAATGGTTTCGAACTTATAGCCGGGATCATTGGAAAATTTTTAAAGATAGGCCCTTAAAGGATTTCTATTGGCTGCTCATGCAAGAAGATTACAATAGCTGACCATCCTCTGTTACATGATTCTGCCAGAGCACATCATCTTCCTTTGCATTTATAACTAAGGAAATTAGAAACCAAAGTTGTAGGCATGTTACTTACCCATCCATTTCTGGCATCTGTAGATCCATGAAGCAAGCATCAAAGCTGTGTGGAGGGTTCAACATTGATAAAGCTGCCTTTCCACTCTCCACGCAAGTAACGATTGCTCCGTACTTCTTTAGAGCACCTTCTGCAACTCTTCTGTTAACAACATGATCATCCACCACCAAGATTTTCTTGTCTCTCAGTAGATTGCAAAGAATTGATGGTTTCCCTCCATTTAAATGCCTCTTTTTTCCAATTCCAAGGGCTTCATGGAAGCAGGAAATTAACTCATTTAAACGAATAGGCTTTGTTAACACATCATCCACTAAACCAGCTGATTTGAGCTCACTGCACTCAGTAGAGCTTATGGAAGTAGCCAAAAGAAATATCTTTGGACGGACTTCCGGCAATTTTGTGCTGCCATTTGGCCTGAGCTTTCTGAGCAAGTGATAGAATGCAAGACCAGTCTCCTTGCCCATAATGTTTTTGTCAATGAGAACCATGGCTAAGTGTGATAATGAACTGTAAACATAATTTATTATTAAAGTATCAGCAAAAGCATAATGAAAGCATATGATTTCATAGTAAATTGTTCTTAATTTATATATCCAAAATATCATTTACAATTCATTGTCATTATTTAAGATAAGAACAACATTTTCTTCTAACAATCAAAAAAGTATAGTTTGAAAAGAAAACTAACATGTTGGAGCACTTACGCTCAAGCACAGTTGATTAGTTCCCCCATCCCACCCCCTCCCCTAGCTCAACAAAGCCTTAACAATCATCTTTTGTCATGTTTTGTCTTTCTGCTCTATATAAGGCCATAACTATTAAATCCTTTCCTACTATTTCAATCCACACTAATTCCAGTAATTCTTTCCCCTAGTATTATCCACGATGTGGATCACATCGCTCTCCCCCACTGCTGCGGTTATTGGTCTCCGCTACACAAAGCCAAACCTTTTTAATCTTTTCTCATTTATTATATCCAAGAGGTGCTACTTCTACAATCTCACAAATATATTCATATGTAATATTATCCTTTTTTGTCTTACTATGCATCTAAATAATATGCACATAGTGACACACATTTTATGAACATGTTGCTTCTTAGCCACCCAAATATCTTGTCCTGTAAAGTATGACCGGTTTAATTATTTTTTTATAGAACTGCATTTCAATCTTAGAGAGGTGTGTTCAGAACACAATATGCCAAAATAACTCCAAAAAAATAGAGAGGTCAATATGAAGCTTGCTTAACCAAAAAAATAACTTCAAGAAGATGACCAACTATTTTATTGAAAGCTCTTTAAACTTTAATGGTTCACCCTGAGCAGCAGAACCTCTTTCTCAATTCTGATTTAAAGTTGTTTACTGGGAATGCAAGATGTACTATAATGAAAATTGTCATCTTTTACTTTCTTGAGCGAAGAAGCTTCAGGTCGTGGCTGAAATATTATTATGGTTTCTTTACATGTGATAATGAAAATAGTAACTTAAAGAAAACAATCTTCATACCATATATATTTGAGTAATTTTAGTAACTAAAGCATAATAAGTCCTTGATATCTTAAAAAAAAATTGTGTCCAACTCAAGCTACTGTCAATCTTCAAACATATATGCTCAGTAAAAGGAATCTACCTCATGTTTGAGTTACTAGATAGATAAGAGCATGCAGAATCCAGACTGAAAGTAACGTCTGCTGTTATCCCCAATCTCTGTAGATGATATCTTGTGACTTCAGCTCGGATGCACTTATCATCAACCACCATTGCTCTCAATCCCTTGAACTCTGAAACAACTGGATCATGATGCTGCCACTTTGTATCCAGAGAACTTGTTTCTCCTTTTGCAAAAGTTGCAGTAAATGAAAAGGTACTGCCAGTGCCAGGTTCACTCACAAACCCAATTTCTCCATCCATAAGGTCCACCAGACGCTTGCTAATGCTCAATCCTATTCCAGTCCCACCATATGTTCGTGACGTGGAACTGTCAGCCTGCATAAAAGGCATGAAAATGCAGCCTTGTGCTTCTGGAGGAATTCCCACACCCGTATCTTCAATCGTCACTAATAGTTTGATCATTTGAGTTTGCTCCACTGAACAATTGCCACTTAACATATTAAATTTCTCCCAGCTTTTCCATCTATCAACCACGGGAAACCCACTCAATGTATTACAAGACTTGTTTGACCAGTCTTGAAGTAGCATCAAGCTTTGTCTCAGCAATTCGTCTGTAACATCAAGTGGGCACCTCGCTTCGTCAGCCAGATGGACTGAGATAAATACATGCCCTTTCTCATGTGTGAACTACAATTTAAACAAGTAGCAAATTGGTAAAATTAATACATGAAGTCAAATGCCCCCTTAATCACAATGCTACTTATGGCAATAGATTATTCTTATAGCATATTGCAAGTATAGCAATTATACACATATACTTTCAGTATCGTTAATAGCTTAAGACTCTGTCTTCTTTTTTTTTATCCAGTGCACAAGGAACACCGCACTGTGTTACTACAAAACGCACCATCTGACTGTTCTTTGAGTAAGAATGACCATGGTAGTTTCATTCCAGAACATTACATTCAAGATCCCATTCATTTGATTTTTCTTTTAGTTTTTCTTTCTCTTGAAAGGAAAAAGATCAAAAAAATGTTAAAAGAGACACTTGTTTGGACAGCAGTTCCTGCAACAAGATAGATGCCTTGCCACAAAAAAGTGCTCAATGTTTATGGAACATAATTTAAATACCTAATAGGAAACTTGAGACATTATGAACTTGGTACGATTATCTTGAGGATCTAAGTGGCCAACCTGCAACCCACCCAACTGTACCACATTCTAAAGCAACAGATTGCATTCCCTTCTAACGTCCATGTTTCTACAACCTCAAGAAATTCCAGCTTTTATCTAGGACTCATATTGGTTTGATGAAAAACAAAGTAAAATGTGTACAAATTATGCAATCAAGTTTATCAGCATTACCATCACTATATTAGTAAGTGGTATACAGAAGAATTGACATATATAGATGCAAAAGTGTAGTGTATAGCCTATTCCTTGGACAGTGACATTGCAAATATAACGAGGTAGCTAGCTTCCATTATTATGAACAAGTACAGAGTTGTCATCAAAGAGTAATACATTCTCGAGCTTCAAGCACAGAGAACCAACAGCTATCAATACCATTTCCAGTATCTACTTTTCCTTACACCCAATGAAGCCAATGACACTCCAAATTTTGATTCTCTCAAATGGCAGGTTTACACACATTCCCCCACCCACAAATTTTTTTGTATAATGCATAGCATCATCACTTTTTCTTAGAACGTGTGGGCGGATGCTCATGCAAGAGGGCATTGTTCCAGCCCCTCCATTTCCCACAAAAACAAAATTCAAGATCCAAGAAACATAACCAACCTTGACTGAATTTCCAACAAGATTTGTAATTATCTGCCGGAACCGTCCAGGATCTCCAATGACAACTTCAGGAACCTGATCAGAGAAGTAAACAGCCAACTTCTCCAGAAAAACACGAAGACCATGCAAGAGATCACATCAATACCAGTAACAACCATGACAAAATAACCTACAAAAGAACAGATCAAGTAAAAGAAGTAAGGATTTGGTTTTTACCTCAATTCCTTTTTCATGAGATTTGCCAGAGAAAAGTGATAAAACATTATCAATAACAGCGCGGAGATCAAAAGGTACAGCCTCAAGCTCGAGCCTGCCTGATTCTATCTTAGCCTGATCAAGAACCTCATTAATCAATGATATTAGATCTTTCCCATTAGCATGAGCTGTCTGGGTAAAATCTAGCTGGTTTGCATCAACATCTGTGTCCATTAACATTTGCAGCATACCTGAATTAAAATTTGAAGTTATATTCTGTTATTTTTCCTAGATATGCATAAAATTGTAATTGTGAATATTAAAGACTTCCAATTACCTAGAACACCATTCATCGGAGTCCTGATTTCATGGGAAACTGTAGCAAGAAACTATAAAAAGGAAAGGACACTTCTATTAAAAAGAAATTGCAGGAGTGTCATGTATATAAGGAAAGGTAAATCTAAAGATGAAATATATTAAGGAGAAAAAGACGAAACTGCTGCTCTCAGAATCATATTTTATGAGGAAATAAAGAAATATGACGCAGTTACAAGGATTTTTGAGATATAAGATGACTGTACAGAACCAGAAACAAAATGCACCTGAGATTTTGCTACATCTGCAGCTTCAGCACGATGCATGAGCTCCATTGTTTCTCGATAGTCACGCTCCACTTTAGCAATTCGGTTTATGGCTGCATAAAAGATATGACCCAGAAGCAATGTGATGACAAGGACTCCCACAGATGCTGTTATTGCTGTCCAAGGTGGAGGTGGTTTCTGCTTAAAACTGTAACCAAAAGAAACACGTTAAACTCAGAATATTGGTTATTCCCAATTTCTAGCTAATAGGAATGCTAAAAATCACTAAAAACATCTGACCTGCAATGCATCTCATGCTTTCGAGATGGATCACCAAAATCAAGGTTGCTAATGCGCACTAAACCTGTATCAGTGTCATTAGTACCATACATTTTAATGGGTGCAGATTTGTTGGTCATATCAAAAACATTCACAACAATCGTTTGTTTGCTAGCAAGCTGGTGTAGAAGCTTCTCCACTAGTGAAGGGACGTCATAAGATGCACCTAGGTACCTTTAAAGAAGCAACGCTCAGTGTTAGAGAAGTCGATAATTCAATCATTACAAAATAAAATATCTCATGGCTAATATTGGCTACTAATACATCAGTCTTAGGTTTTGTACTGGCAATCAAAATACTTCCAAGGAGATAATTTACCCCACTGTAGTATTAATGCGTTGCTCTGGCGTAGCATCTGGAGCAAGGTGAGTGTTATAGACTGCAAAAGTAAGTACAACTCCCAAGTGGTTGGATTTCAATAGCTTAAAAGGAGATGTCAGGACTCCCTTTCCAGAAGCCCTTGCACGCAATATATTCTCACAATCTTCCTATACAGCAATGAAATAATAATGAGCAATTCTGATATTATTATCAATAATCCTCTAAGCACAGCTCTTTCAGATCTAAACCAATGCAAGGGGGTATACATTTACCACTCCCAATACCTTGCATTAGCAGAACCAACACTGGATGTGGCCTCAAATACACCCCAACTAATATATGTACATTGTGATCATGAGATGAGTAAAGTCTTTTAACATTGAACTACATCAACAGCCTCACAGGAATCAAACGTGATTGCATATTGTATTTGTACACATATACATATATACAGTGAGTGAGAAGCTGAAGCGACAACAGTGGTAAACCAGTGAAATTTGTGGGCCATCTTACTTTTATAGAGGATATTTAACATATTATTTTGTCTCAAAATCAAAATGAATTGCAATAGATGAGATGGTTGTAATCATCTAATATCTCCCAACTATGATTTCTGATTTTTAGTAGTAGTATTAGTATGACTACTTGTACTTAAAATTAAGTTTGCATCTACAGATACAACTTGTATTAGAGTGGTTATATGAACACATTTCCATGAAAAAATGATGATTGTTCTGCATCCTGTCTTCAAAATAAACTTGTCAAAATCTCCACAAATCACCATGACAGCTCCATGAATTTTTGCCTCTTCTTCATCTTCTTACCAGTAGTAAAATTAAAATCACTAGTCTAATGAGAGAGAATCTAGCTCAATAGAAAGAAAGGAATAATAGAAGCTCCTTGAGCTAAAAAACACACCTTTCCAGACATCATATCAATAGATACAATATGGGAGACAGTGGCTTGAGAAAATATAACAGGTGCATATTCATCTTGAGTGGGTGAAGGATCCAAATTTTCAGGAATACAATCTTGGACTAGAGTTTGATCCTCAGTTCCCATTTTCTTTATTGCCCATCCATGTTGCTTCTCAAATTGCTCCCTCTCTAAATGAGGCACTCTCAAGGCATAGGCAACGCCACTTGTAAGTGGCCTCTCAAAAGCAGTTCTCTTAGTATATTCTCCAAATGTTTCCTGCGGATTAAGAGAAAATAGTAAAAGTCAAAACCATAATGACAGCAATACAGTGTAACATAAGACTATTTATTGTTGCACAAGACTTATTATTATATAAATTTATAAATAAATATTAGACTCCTAAATGTAATAGAAAATAGAAAAGGTAGTAGGCGGTAATGAATTGCCTGATCAATAGCAGAAGGTTGTTTTCCATGGTGAAACGTGGAGATGAGAATAGCCAAGGCATGAACATGGTTCATGCTCACGTTAAACTGATCCTGCAACATCCTGGCTCGTTCATCACACATGTTCGCAAGTGTTTCAGTCCTCCTCAAAAGAATATCCTCATTCAAGTGCCAAAACAACCAAGCAGATCCAGTCACCCCAGTTAACACAAACGTAATTAGGAGCTTTTTCCTCCACTTTCCAGCGCTTTTACAAGATTTCAGGGTTTTCTGTTGCTGCTTCAGCAGCAGCTTCTGCTGAGCTAGTGACTGCTGCTCGACCTGGTTCTGATTTTGATTTCTCCGCAACTTTCTATGTAAACCAAACATTTTGCAGCTCATTACCACTCCAAGAAGGACCCAACAACATACTTTCACTAAATAAAAAGAAAAACTCTCACAATGCTCTTTACTGTCATCAAGAGCCCTTCTTCGAAATTCTTTCTGAACAAAGCCAAACCAAACAAACAAATTAGCAATTTGTATAATCTCTCATGCTTTATGAAATCTTTTCCATCTTTCTGACCAAAAATTATAAACATGTTTCTGCATGAGTGATGCAAGGACATATGATTTCCACACGCAATCCCAAAAGGTATGGAAAAACCACTCTCTAGATCATCACATCTAATGCAAGAGTCCGGATGCTTCAGTACTACTAGACAGTTCATGACATAAGTATGAAAAATATTTTATTCAGTTGTGAAAAAACATTACCATTTTAAAAGGCATATAAACTGTTGAAAGGATTTTAAAAGGCTAAATATTATAGAAGGCATGCCTTGTAGAAAAGAATGGAAAAGGAGAATTCGTGTTGCCGACCCCATTCATATGGGATAAAGGCAAGGAGGATGACGATAAAAGGTTGCAGTTATATTACTTCTAGTAATGCAACTCATTAACAAAAAATTTACACAATGATGTCAATATTGCAATCAAAGAATGACAAGGTAGTCCAAGGGGTTGTGATAATGTGTGCAGTTGTTGCATGGTAGAGATATTCCGATCTTCATTAGTGCTTTTGACTTTTGAGGTTCACCAGATTTGATATGAATAATGATCCATGTATGCCAGATTCAAAGAGAACCATGTGCAGGGTTGTAGGAGTGAGGACTTAAGGCTATTTGAAAATGCCACGTAGGCTTCCACCTGAACGCCATGGGGCAAGGTGAGATATAGCTCGTTGGCAACACATGTAATGTATAGTTGGGTACCACAAAGTTCACACTATTTCTAAGACTGCTACTTCGAAGATGGGGTGAGGGGATGAGCTACAGTTTAATTTATCATAATATTTGATATTAGTTCAGGCAATCATACAGGAGAGAGACGATCAAATTTTGAGGAGGATGAGAATAATGAGGATAGCACCTTATTACACCTAATTCCACCTCAAATTCTCAATCCCTGCAAGAGGGAAATTTCAACTATCAATTATTCAAATATTGAAACATCACCCAATTACGTAGTTTTGCAACCCAAATCTATTTCATCTCTCACTATTTATCACTAAATTCCAAATCAAAGGGACAACACTAATGTTGCGTTTGGAAGCTCCAAATAAGTGCCTTGGAGTTGGAGGAAATTCAGTCCAAACCTTAAACTAAATTTCTTCCACTTCTAAATCCAAGGCATCGATTAGGTGCTCCCAAACATAGCTTAATAGTCATTTCTTTAGGAAAACTTCTGCTCTCAATTTTTCAAATCTAAAGAAATAAAATAAAAAATAAAAATAAAATAAAAATAAAAAAACAAAAAAAGCATTACTTCGTTAGAAGCCCCATTGACAGCTTCCACTTCTCACTCATCCACATCAAAATCCATTTCTTACTTCTAATCATTACATTATGAACTCCAATCCACAATTTAATAACACCAAAAATCATTTGATGGAAAAAGATCTATAGCATGAAACAACTGAACCCTACTCTTTGCTATTCTTCATGTTCACTCATCTTCTAAACCAAAACAATCTTTGTTAAAAACAACCGTTACTTATTGATAGCAACTACTTCAGGCTAATATCAAACAACTGACACCTAAAAAAGAGAGTTCAGAGCTATTAAACATACTAGTCTAAGAAATTAGAAGGAAAAAAATGCACCTGATCTGATTCAGAGAATATAGCAGCCAAAGCATGATGTTGATCCTTTCTTATATTCAAATGTTGTAGCGAAAATCTAGTTCTTTCTTCACACAAGTATGCAGTCTTCTCCTTCCCCCTCAAAGCCCCGCCATTTAAACCAAAGATGAAACAAATGAAGCCCAAAACACCTGAAAACGACAGAAAAAGAAGCTGTCTCCTCCATTTCCAGACACAATTAGATCCATCCTTCGCCTTCTTCGGCTTGAAGTTGGTTGACAATTTACCACTAAATCCAGAGAGTTTGCAATTGAAAGACATCTTAACCAAAACCCACCTACATATCTTCAAAAACAGCCTGGAAAGGTTAAGAGAAACTCCAGACAGCTCAGAAAAACTCATTAGAATCAGACATTTGAAAGAAGCCCACTAAGAATACAACCATAAACTGGAATTGCAAAATGAGTTGATTCTTCAGCAAATCTAGCTCTCAAAACTCCTCAAAATCAAACACTTAGAAGACATTCACTAGAAAGATTCAACTAAAAGCTGAAAACGGCTTGAGAAACAATTGATTCTTCAACAAACTCAGCTAATAAAACTCATCAAAAAACCGACCTTGAAGAGAACCCCAGAGGAATACTAAATGAAATAGGTGAAATTGAAAGAAACCAACTTGATTCTTCAGCAACCCAGCTCCAATTATTCACAATGTAGTAATGCAAATATAGTATGCCCACCACTTGTTTTATTCTCTGCTCTGCTCTCTATACTATGGTTCTAACTAATAATACTGTGCAGCAATAAAAACCCATCAAAACTATACCTCTTTTGGAGAACACAAAGGAAAGAAAATCATGCCAAACAACAATCTGGCAGAAACCCAGTTGCTATGTTGACAAACTGTGACTGAATCATCAATGATACAAACAAAAATGGTCTTCTTTTTTCTATATCTAGTCTTTCTATCTCAGACAACTCTGCATAGCCGAAAGAAACATCATGATCAAAACTTTTCCATAGAAAACTCATCATCAAGACAAATTGAATAAAACCCAAATGGAATTAATGATCAGAATTTGGGAAAAGAAGGGTCGCCTTCTTTTTCTTCTTTAAACCCTCTCTCTCTCTTCCCCTCGCTTTTTCTCTCTTAGTCTTTAAGTCTGGAATTTAGCATATGTAGGTAGAGGCAAGCTCTATGATTATCTCATCATCTAGAGGGAAAGGTTGAAGAAAAGTAAAGAAAACAAGGATGAATAAATTTTACAATTTCGATTGTTTTGTATCAATTTTTTCTTTTTTCTTTTTTCTTTTTCTTTGTACCTTCGTTTCGTTTGCTTTGGAAGAGAGTTGAAAGAGACCGCACAAAGTGTTTAAAGATGGGTCATTTGTTTTCTGCCGTGGTGCAGATATACGGATGCGTGTGTATAGATAGATATATATAGAGAGAGAGAGAGAGAGAGAGAGCAGGGAGTTTTATAGAGAGAGGAAGAGAGGGATGGTAAAAAAGTGGTCGTGGGAGACAGTGAGTTCAGTTCGGTGATCAGTTGGGGAAGGGACAATGAGAGAGAGAGGGAATCTGTGCTAAATACGGGAAAAGATCGGCGATTAATTGGGAATACGGGGGCTTCTTGCTAATATGCGCCTTGTGTTTGAAATTCTTAATCTACACATGCGGAGTACTTTTTTTTTTTTTTTTCAATGCGGCGTACATATTTACCTTACCACAATTATATGAAAGAATTTTAAATAGAAATCCGAGGTCCCAAAGCAAAGTGTGCTAAATAAAGAACATTGTGCTATATGATTTGTTTGACCATGATTTTAGTGTTAATTTATTGAACATTCTGAAGTGTGTAATAAATTTGGTAATGACCAAATTATATTTTATATGGCTATTGAAACCTTAATCATTGTTAATTAAAAAATAAATAAATAACCTTAATCATTATTTTCTTTTTGGTATGGCTTAACTTAAGTGGTATATTCTCTTTGGCTGAGAGTTGATTTTAATAAATAATATGATAAAAAAAAAAAAAAAAGATTTTAATAAATAATAATAAATTAACCGTACGTGACTTTTTTTTAATTTTAACGTGTTATAGAAGAAGGCATACCAGCAATTTAGCAAGGGAAAAAAAAATACAACAAAAAAGATCATGATTACTCAATTCTTACATTTATCTAAAGAGAAATGTTAATTGCTAAACATCACAAATAATATATATCATGAAATTAACTTGAATGAGGTGGTCAATGACGTGGACAATGACATGTCTGCCAACTTAATTAAAATTTTTAAATAAAAATTGTCAATATTTTTTTCTTTCTAAATATATAATTTTTTTTTTTTTTTTTTTTTTTTTAGAGAATGGATCGCACTGCCAGGAATGGGAGAATAAACATCTAAATCATGACAATCGGGAAAGGTCTTAACAATGACGGTCTCGATTATATGAGTGTGATCTCAGGCTGTAGGTGCAGAATTTCGCTCAACCAATAATGATTAAGAAAAATAAAACAACTCACTCAATTAATAGTAAAAATAAACAAGAACAATATATGTCGAAGCGTAGAATTGCTTGATCCATTTATTGGAGGTCTAAACCTCTATTTATATACAAAAGATTGTAAAATTATGGTAGGACTCGCGTTACTTGCCCTCCAATTCTTTCTATATAAACATTCTTTACTAATAGAGTTCTTTCCATTGTCTAATTTTCCATACATAGAACTTGCCTTGTACAGAACTTCCTATCTCAGAATTTTCCTTCTACGGTAAATCCTTCAACTGGTAGGACTTGTGCATTCTCGAATAACTGGGCTGAACATACTTTGATCCGGCTGGGTTTGAGTAACGGACCGGATGTTAAATGTTAACAAGTTGGGTTGATGACCTCTTGATTCGGCCTTGATGGAGGTTGGAGGACAAATAACAATGGTCTTGGGCTAAAAATACCCTCAATTTGGGCTTGAGCATGATAGGCCTTATATGTCCTTGGAATGTAGATATGTGTAGTGATGACGTGTGCACTTTTTATTGGAGGGAGTTTTTTTCCCTCCACACTTTGTCCCAAATTTCATTTTTAATTGAGTAACGGCTCCCATTAAAGAGGGAATTGAAACCGGTTTTTTACTTTGCTTCAGAAACGGTTCGAGGTCTTTCATTATTACTCCGTCATACAAGATTCTGCAAGAGTTACATTCGCCCTTGCTGCCCTCCTGCGTTCTTCATTCCATCACCTTGTCAGGTTAGTTTTTTTTCGCATCTTTCTCTCCAATCTTTCATTATGAGTACTTCATCTACTCCCGAACGTATAGACATTGGGGATTTTGAATCCACACCTTCATCTTCCCCCATTCGCATTAGGGCTCCCCCTTCTAGGGTTTCTACAGATCGTCTTTCGTTGAATCAATTAGGTACTTCCCCCCTTCTAGCTGAGACATCCACCTCAGGCTCTGATAATGTTCTTACTCATGAAGAGAGGAAAGCAATCATCTCTATTCGCCGTATCAAGTTCTCTATTGCTTCGGTAATGGAAGAATTTGATATTCATGAGGGAGTAGAAATTGCAGAATATCCCGAGGGTGCCGATTTTACCTCCGGCGAGGGAATTGAAGAGAGTGAATTGCTTCTTTCGGTAGGGCATCTTAGCGCCCTCCGGTTCCCTCTTCACCCCTTCTATCATTTAGTTTTCAACAAGTTAGGTCTTGCCCCCCTTCAGGAAAACCCTAATTTCTTTCGCATCCTTTCGGCACTGTTGGTGCGCCGGAAATTAGAGGCTCTGGATTTGACTTTTGCCGACCTTCTGCTTACTTATAATATATCTAAGCATGGGACCGAGCCTGGCCGCTTCTTTTTTACCTCTCCCCTTCATCAGAGGATATGCACGAACCTTCCTTCATCCGAGAAGAAGTGGAAAGAAAGGATGGTTATAGTTAAAGGAAAATGGTTCGTGCCTCAATCAATTACGCTCCCCATCTAGCGCAAATTCGGGAAATTAGGTATAGAATACTTAACCTCCCTTCATACCAAGTGTTCTGGCTGTTTTCCTTGCCAAGTCTTAATGTTTCGCCGTACTTATGAGTTTCTTGGTGTTTTTTCAGCTACATTCCCATCCTCCGCAGCAAGGAATAGACTTTCTTTTCTTGAGGAACGAGTCTGGAGTGACCCCTCGCCTATCGAGGACCTGCTAACTTCTTCAAACCTCAAGGATATTGCCTCCAGTGCTGTTGCTGCAGACCTCATGGATCTGTCTCTACCATCCTTTGATAGTTTCCCCATGACTGAGGAGGAGATATGGAGGGCTGAGGCTTTAAAAAAGAAAGCCGAAGATGCCCAACCCTTGGTCGTTATTAGGTCTACTGAGGGTGAGGTGGAGGCTGAGGAACCACCAATGAAGAAATCTCGCCTCAACCCCCCATCCTCTGGCAAGGGCAAGGTCCCTTCTAAAAGCAGAGGGAAAAAGGGCTGGAGAGGCCGAACCTGAAGATGAAGTCAGGGCATTTGTTCTGGCTGAAACTGGGGCTCCTTGGGCTCCTTCCTTCACCAGGGCTGACAAGTCAGTCCTGCATTCAGGGGATTCTGTGATCATAGACCCTTCAGCTGCACTGGCTGTGGCCCGAAGGATGTGGCTCCCAAAGGACGAGGAAGCCATCGGCCAAATGGGATTGGAACAGCTACTCCCCTCCGCCCCAGTCCGGGCCATAGAGGTTCGTATTGCTCCTTTAGAATTATGTTACTCTTGCTTACTCATGTTTCCATTTATGCTCATATTTGTTCCTCTGTTATACAGGGTCTATACCACACCATGGCCCTCTGCGCCACTGCTGAAGCCCAATCCCTCTCCATCAAGAAGCTGGAGAAGGATCTTGACAATGCAGAGAAGAGAGCCACCACTGCCTCTACCAATCTGAAGATAGCTACTGAAGCCAAGGATGTGTATAAGAGGCAGTTGGCTGCCTCTGAGGCTAAGGTGGATTCTCTTCAGGCCGAAATTCAACACCTGACCGAGGCTCTTACTACTTGCTTCAAGGCGGGGAAGCAAATGCAGGGGCGCTACTCCTGTCTGGCACACCTGGCTAGTACTAAAGCGTTCCGGTCTGGCTATAATCAGGGCTCGGGCCCTAGGACGATGGATCCGGACGCTTTTGACAAGCAGGTGGGGGTGCACTTCCCATATGATGAAGGGCCACAGGCTTTGGAAGCTGAAATCCGCTTTGCCGAGATGGTAAAGGCGCACCTGAAGGGTACTCCTAGCTCTTTTGCCCCTGCGGCTTCAATTCTTCCTACCCCAAGTCCTACTGTAGTGGATGCTTTTGAATCTACTCCCTTCGATCCGAAGAGGAAGTAGAACTATGTATTTCGTTTTTATTGACAGTATGTTTGGGATAATAAATATAATTTTTGTTTTAGGCTTTCAATACCTGACTTGTTTTTGCTGTATGCTTTTGATATTGTTCATACTTTTCTGACTGGTAATGTTTTTATGACAAACAAAACACATTGTCTTTATGCTTCGGATTTATGCTACCCGAGAAAAAGCAAGGATGGTGGGAAGAAGGAGATCCTTTTAACAGTTTAATTGATATCTCAGGATGACTCATATGGACAATGATCTAACTGTTACGTGAACTCTTCTTGCCTTTGACTTGCCTGCAGTAGACGTATACATACTCTTTCTTTCTCGTGTGTTCCTGATGTGGGGTGGATCATGATGAACTTATGATATATCCACACCCATAGGGTATTAAACACTTGGAGTCCGGAAGAAAAAGTTCTGATCCGGCCACCAGAGGTCTGAAGCGAATTGTTCCTCGGCACTGAGTGTGGAGGAATAGGACACTTAGGGTCCGAAGCGGTCTCGGACACTTAGGATCTGAGGTGAATTGTTCCTCGGCACTGAATCGTGGAGGAATATTGCTGAATAGGACACTTATGGTCCGAAGCTGTCTCGGACATTTAGGATCCGACGCGAATTGTTCCTCGGCACTGAGTCGTGGAGGAATAGTGCTGAATAGGACACTTAGGGTCCGAAGCTGTCTCGGACACTTAGGATCCGAGGCGAATTAAATACTCCCTGACGCGGAGCCGGAGGGGAGGTTTTGCCGAGCCGGACACTTAGGGTCCGAGGCGGGATTTTTGCCGAGCCGAACACTTAGGGTCCGAGGCGAATGAACTACTCCCCGGCGCTGAGCCTGAGGGGAGGTTTTACCGAGCCGGACACTTAGGGTCCGAGGCGAGATTTTTACCGAGCCGGACACTTAGGGTCCGAGGCGAATGAACTACTCCCCGGCGCTGAGCCTGAGGGGAGGTTAAATGAATTACTCCCTGGCGCTGAGCCTGAGGGGAGATTTTGCCGAGCCGGACACTTAGAGTCCGAGGCGAGATTTTTGCCGAGCCGAACACTTAGAGTCCGAGGCGAGATTTTCCGAACCGGACACTTAGGGTCCGAGGCAAGATTTTTGCCGAGCCGGATACTTAGAGTCCGAGGTGAGATTTTTGCCAAGCCGGACACTTAGGGTCCGAGGCGAGATTTTTGCCGAGTCGGACACTCAGGGTCCGAGGCGAATGAACTACTCCCTGGCGCTGAGACTGAGGGGAAGTTTGTTTATATTTTTTCTCAAACAACTTATCATGAGGCCGAGGATTCAAAAATGATAAGAGGCCAAGAAAGCGAGTAACAGTGGCTGTGAAGTTTCCTATTTGTTGACTTTGGAGACTTTCCTCCTCCACTGATACTCCCTTCTTGGCAACCAAATGTAGTGGACCACGCATATATGAACCGCATTTCTTTTCTATTTCTATCCGATGTGGGATATAGACTAAATTTTGTCAAAAAGGTCGATGTAAGGAATGCCTCTGGTATCGAGCTTGACAGCCTTAAATACCAGTGGGCCCTCCTTACACCGTAATTAACTATTTGAA